AATGTGAGAATTAGAAGTTAGCCAGGTTATTTTAATTATTTATTTTTCAGCCTCTAAAACAAAAGGAAATAAAAAGTGAAACATGACGATTGCAGATGTTAATCGTTCAAGAGCCGAGCGATGTGTGTGCCGGTCGGTCGTACAGATAGTACGATTAGTACTGCTGACGTATTGGTACACGCCCTACGGCAGTAGTATGAATACTCGGGGTTGGGTGTACTAGTACTAGAGAATCTGCACTTTTTCATGCTTGGTAAGTAAAGATTGAAGTTTGGGTCGAGCACAGTGTCGCAGGGAGGCTTTTTAAAACCCAGAAACTCTCTGGTTGAGAGACTTATCTTACTGAGGAGTAAAAATGGCGAACAGCAGCAGAGGAAGTATTTGTTTACTTCAGACAGCAGCTGCAAGCCTTTAAAGAGCGGATAGGAATAGATACTGAGATAGTTAGGTTTTTATTTATTTATTTATTGTTTTGAAAGGTGAATGCAGCTATTGATGTTGTTGTTATTACTTGGATACATTTTTTAATATTTTTTAAATCATAGTTTATTTAAATGTGTCCTCTTCATGTTGCTTGAATTTCTTGTTTCTGACTTTTAATAACCACATTGACAGATATTTCAGCTCTGTAAGAAAGAAAGAAAGCATTTGTTTTCTATTTCCTGGTTTAGTGATTGTTTTCCTTTGGTTATTATTTGCAGCCCTTTTAAAGGTTTCTATGGATACAAGCTCAACAACAGCAGCTCAGGGTTGACTTGGTTCATTGTTTGTTGGAGGCTCAGGGGACAGGTTTGGGCTTGTGTTTAGTCCTGGTTTGATCAGAAGTGCTGGTACAAAATCTGCCAATAAAGTTATTGCGAAATTACTACGGTTAGTGAATGTCACATTTTGACACATTTATGTCATTGTGGTGGATCAGATAAGGTTTCAGAGAAGGAGGGAAATATGTTGTGAAATGATTAACAAACCTTTGGGTTTATTCCAAGAAATGAAGCATGAAACCTTTCCCGCCTTAAACAGTTGGGTTTTTTTTTTGTAAATGTTGAATGTAAAAGAGAAAAAAAAGAAAAAGTTGGGTGGATTTTTATATCTAAATACTGGTTATTTATTAATCATAGTTCTAGAAAATCAAAGGTATGAAAAACAGTATTGAATATTCAGTAACTCTCCATGAAGTAGGACTAAAGTTGTACATGGGGGGTAAAATATTTGAAATTTAAAAATCTGAATACATGATAGATATTTTTTACATTACTATATTGATCATTATTAAAGAGAATAAAACAGCAGATAAAGTTAAGAGATTTCTCACAATAAAAAACCTTTTGTTATATCATTCTTATATTTGAAACAACATTTAAACACATGTATTTCTTGTAATATATGTATATCATTCTTATATTTGAAACAACATTTCTACACATAAATTTATTGTAATATATGTATATCATATATTTGAAACAACATTTAAACACATGTATTTATTGTAATATATGTATATCATTCTTATATTTGAAACAACATTTAAACACATACATTTATTGTAATATATGTATATCATTCGTATAGTCTGGATATCATTTCTAATTTTTAACTAAGTGAAATAGAAATAATATATGTTCAGGTTAGAGAAGATGCCCAGAAGAAGTATGACTTGCTTTTATTATTTGTAGCTTGAATGCCTGCTATTGTTGTTACCAAAGGCTGCTAATGCAGTGCTAGTCATATGTTCACTTGTGGCAATTTAAGTCCCATGATAAGCACGAGAGGCTTGTAAGCATCATGAGCTTTTCATTTTGATTCTATGCAGAATAACAAAGGTATGAGTGAGATGTAATGGACATTCTCTTGTTTAAATGTGACAGAGTTAACCTTTAGTTAACCTTCTTTTATTATATTTTGAGTTTTGTTCTGACTGCTGCGTTATCCCGTTTCCTTTTGAAAAACTTTGAGCAGAGTTCTTGTTTCTTATAAAGCACTTAAGTTGATTAAAGATCCGGTAAATCAAGAGGATTCAGATATTTTCTCCTCTAAGCTGCAGCTGCAAAAAGTAATTTAACAGTTCAAGACCAGAAAAAAAAAACCCATAATGAGTGCACCTTCATTTGCAAGCATTATTCAATTATTCAGGAAGTTCCTAGCAACCGATTTCCCTGCAGATGACATGGAAATTTAAATTCAGACTTGTCGACTGGAGTGAAGGTCGGAAAACAGTCAGAAAACAATCACAATTTAGCAAAGTTTATTCACCATGTCCAACAGCTTCACAAACCATATTTTGTGTTGCCTATGTAATTACCATTTGAAACAGTTCATCACATTTTTCAATAAGAAAATCGACGGCTATTTAAAATTTGTCTGAAATGTTTGGCACTTTGCTATGTGCGTAACTCTGCGGAGCAAACAATGTCAACTGAAGCTACAGCTCCAGCTTGTGTCCGATTGCTGCATTACAGCTTAGAAGCAACAATTAACAGGCAATACAAAATAATAAAGAATGAATAATTGTTTTTAAAATTCGGAAGTAATTCCAGTGTTGACTAGCATTTTAGTTTAGTCGACCAAACGAACGCACACATTGCTTTTCAATACTGTTGAAGTTTGCAGGGCTGGCTTTAATTAGCTTGTTCAGGATAAGTAGTGTGTTTTAACAAAACAATACCATGTTTACCATAAATAAATACCAAGTGTAAACAAGTGGCCTTGAGTTGTTAGGATTTTTTTCTTTTGAGACACACAACTTGGTCTTTATCAGTGGAGAGACAGCGTCACTCTTAGGCATTTGGCTTATATCTGTATAAAGTTCAAACAAGATAAGCTGCATATAATCGTCCTTCGTATACAGATTACTAAGATTGCCAACTCGTGCAATGACACGCAAAGCTGGAATGTGTTCATGGCCTTTCTGGAGTTTTCTCAGACACTTGCTTAAACTTAAAGGTCACATAGATCCTGTTCAACCAGTTTAAGTTAGTCTCAGAGCTTCTCAAATCATGTGTGTGAAGTTTCTTGTTATAAATCCACTCTGATCCTGTATTTGATCATGCTTATAAGCCCCTCTATTTCAGCCCTGCTCAGAACAGGCTGTTTCTGGGTCTGTAGCTTTAAATGTAAATGAGCTGACCACGCCCCCTCTCTGGAATGGCTTGGGGGGGCTGGGGCTTTTTTGAGCCATGCCGTACTGTTTACGGTGAGAAGGCAGACAGAACATACACCTAGCTGTGGGAGTGTCACCCACCTGGGGAGAGGATACTGCCTTTGTGATGTCACAAAGGGAAAATATCCAAACGGGCTGTTAAAGCACATTTTCTGAAGTGGAGCTGGCACAAGACGGGGGGGGATAGACTTTTCTCATAATTGGGGGGCTTGTAGACAAACTAGGAACACATAAGTGTTAGAAACATTTCCAGTGTCATTCTTCTTTCTTCCACTAGATGGCTTCCAAGGATTAAAATCAAGTCATTGACAAATTGCTTTAAACTACTGTAGTCTAAACTGTACCTGGGTCTGGGCGATAAAACCATAACGATAATTATCGCGATATAATTTTTGTCAATTTAAAAATAAAAATGTTCAATAAAAGTTTGATAGATTTCAACATGTAATTACCCCATCCAACCACTGGGAAACGGGGGCGCTAATGCCCCTTTCAATGCTAGATGCCACCCAATATTAAAGAGAAGAAGAAAAGGACGACAAACAGCAAATCATGTTGCAGGGACACACACAGTTTAGATACATTTTGGCTATTTACAGTCCGACAAAAAACAGAGTAAAATGTTCACCGTGCCGAAGAGAAGTGCAGCTTAAACAGCTAACACTCACTTTTCCCCCATTTGAAACAATATGACCCATTAAAACACACCGAAGGAAATAAATATCCAAACGTCCAAAACAAGTGTTAGTGTGGACCGTATTGTAAATAATATAAACAGTCTATGCATGGTGTGGACCCTCAGTAAGCAGTGGGCCAGTAAGTGTGACTCCGCAGCAGCAAACTGTCATACTAGCGTTTTCCAGCTATCGTGAATTCTGTTGTACTTCAAGTGACCACCAGGTGGAGCCACAAGCAAGATGTTGACCTTCATGTTATAACTCTCAAACAAAAGTTGTATTTCGAGAAGTAAAAGGCTTAACTTAAATTGAGGGAAAATGTGGCACTAAGCCATTGGACTTTCATGACTCTTGGCTGGACACTTTTGTGTCTTTGAGTAAAAATGCTGAAAGATCGGAAGTTTGTCCGTCACGCACATGGTGGTTTTTGTAACCCAAAAAATGTTTGTTTTAGCAGTGATAAGTCAAAACTTTCTCTGTGAAAATGCAGTTATTTATGACAGTTATTTTAGCGAAGTTTGCCTGACCATCAGCTTTTTTCTTTAACTATCCCACGCTGAGTCTCAGTCTGCCGTGTTTATAATGAAGAGTTACTTATCACAAAAATCTGTCATCAGAATGTCTTCTTTGGCAAGATCTGTATCTGTTTTTACTTTAGAATTTGTACACTCAGACAGGCTTTTTTTAGATGACACATGCTTCTTGTTAAGCTATTTAAACCTGTTTTTCATTTGCACACAGCTTCCATTGAAGTCTCAACAGTTTTCCATAATATTCAAATGGATTTATTCAAAGCAGCATTATATTTGCAACCTCCCCCACATCATGTTCCTGTGACTACTCAGGTTCAGGTTTTTTTTACATACGATTGGAAAACTTGTACCTTGTTAAACCCACTTCAAAAATACAGAACTATCCCTTTAATCAGCCTTATATTCTCACCACACACGTCCTAGCTCCAGGGCTCATAAACTACTCATTTTTGCACTTTCAGTAGTTCCTGAATTTTCCATGTGCTGACACCTCCAATAGGTAAAACTCTGCTGCGTCAGACGCCACATGAAACATCCTGACTGAAGTGCTCTCTATTTTAATTGCTCAGGTGCTTTCCTTTTAGACTGTTTATTTGGCAGCTAACAGCTGTGTTGTGTGTTATTCATTCACAGGATATAGCAGCAGATTGATGGAGAAAAATGGCTCGAATCTCGTTGGATTGTCCCACGTCTTTACCAGGAATCCCCCTCAGTGTGCTGTCAGTGCCAATGGAGAATAAATACAAATGTCAGCAGTGTCTCCAGGTCCTGAGGAAGCCTGTCCAGGCTCAGTGTGGCCACCGCTTCTGTGTACACTGCTTCAAGGAGCTCACCAGGTACACTGGAGGTCCTCAGACCACCTACAATCGTGTGAAAAAACCTCCCCCCCCCCCCCCCTCCTCCTTATTGCTTACCCTTTAACTGGACATGCTTCAGTTCAGTTCTTATCTCTGCTCGACTCTGGGGGGATTTCTTGAACCAAAGATCAGTAACTCTTTGCACACTCATCCTCACGTGACTGGACTCTTTTACTGGAGTCAGTGAATCACAAGGATTGGGCCCTGCTGACTCATTCTAAGGTGTCCATCATTTCCTTTTCTTTTGTCTTTTTGCTAACTCACTGTTTGTTCTTTATTTCATGCATTGGTGTATCGCCTCATGCTTAATTAAATGATTTAAATATAATTAAGCATAGGTGGCAATACAGGCAATTAAACCATTTTATACCATGGTACAGTGATGACTGTTTTCTGAATTGCTGCTGGGTGTCAACTTATTACTTTCTGTGCTGGTTCATTGGTGTGTTCCAGTCTATACTTAACATTAGTACCTGAAGCAACCTGGGCTTAGCAAAAGCCTCAAACTACAATGGTTTAAATAGTTTTTCCGCCCTTCCTATTGGAGGTAATAACTGATGAGTAATAAGAGAGAGGATGTCAGCGTGTAACGTCGGAGCTGGCAAGACAGAACAGCGCAGTGTGCATGTGAAGCTCCCGCTGTGTGTTTCCATGCAGTAACACAACGAATGCAGAGTTTCAGATTTAATGTTTGAGAACAAAGGCCTCATGACAGCGGAACAGTTTTTAGGAAGTACAATCTAAAAAGGCAATTTTTATTAACCTATAATCTTGATAGCATAGCTTTAGCTTTCTCGCCAGACGTTACCAGGAACATAGAGTTGTGTCCTGAAAACAGATTTTTATTTTTTTTGTACATGAACAAGGGTATAAGCAGCATATTGGCCTTTGACTTGTCAATTATCAGAAATTCATCGTCCATACATTTCTGATAATGGACACTTCTCACACACTCTCATTTTGCCTTTCTTCTGACATTCCTTCACAACCAGAACAACACTTTTGTTTTCACATCTTAATGCTTAAAAACCCTAAATACCTTTTTCATGTGAAACTTTCACTCCATTCTTCACACAAAGCACATGTGAAAGCACTGATTTTGATTTCACATGTGCACCTGTTTGAAAACTTCTACGACTACCCCATACATGATGTTCTCTCTGTTTTGTGTGTGACTGATTTATGTGTTGATTTGTGCTCAACCTTTCGTTGCATTTCTCTCATGATTTGCAGCATCAGCGTAGCACTTGAAGCTTCATTTTCATGCTAAATAATGTTTGTGTCACATTGCCCCGTTCGCCGTGTTGGTCAGCAGGAAATGGTTGCTGACTTTAAGCATCAATCAAGTGTTGTTGTTTTTTTTTTTTTTTAAACTCTTAAATCACAAGGCTGTTTTGTTTATCAGTTCTGGGCCAAAACCATGTGAGGCATGTCGCCAAGAGGAAATATATGAGGAACCTATGTCCATACTTAATAGCAATGAGGTAAGTTATGAAGTATTCAGCCAGCATTGTAATGTTGTGAGACATTTCCTTGTGATCTGTGTATCATCCATACTCCCATTCTGTCTCAGAGGAACAAATATGTCTACAGTGTGTGTGGGGGGTTTCCTTCATCACAGACAACTTGTAATGTCTGCTTGCTGCTATTATAAATCAGTGAGTTCATTCATGTCTGTTCTTTGTTCGCCCACTAGGCATTTCCAGACAATGCAGCAGGAAGAGAAATAGCGAGTCTGCCTGCCAGGTGTTTAAACCAGGGCTGCAATTGGACAGGCTCGATTAAAGAGTACGAGGTGAGGTATCTCGTTCCATTTCCTTTGTGTCATTGCGGGTGGTGGTGGTGGGGGGTGCTTTCTGCTTCTGCTTCTCCTTTCTGTGTCTCCTTTCTGTGTCTCTGTCTGCCTCCTGTCTACCCACCAAATTCACTACAGTCAGTTAGTCAGAGCCTCTTAATTCTTTCTAAGAATAAGAAGTAACTGCAGAGTATTTTTATCACATACTCTGCGCGCATTCCTGTGTGCATGTTTCTCTCCTTTCAAGGCTTCAGCTTTCAGAATGGCTGACCTATGTTCTCTCAGATTGCATTCAGCCGCAAAGAATCAGGAAGTACACCCTAAATGCAGACTGGAAAGTCCCTGCCTTACCAGCATACAACAACAGTGGGAAAGTACCATCAGTTTGACTGCTTTAGGGTTGGTTGAGTAATTAGATTAACAGTTTAAAAGCAAAAAAAAAACAAAAACAGTAGTTAGAGTAGTTGTTTGGATATAAAACAGAAAATGGTTTAGACTGTGAATCCCGTCCTTCAGGGAGACTGTGGATTAATGGCATCACGTAAAAGGACAAGGAGCTGCTTTTTTTTTGTTTTTGTGTTTGAAAATGTTGTCCCCATGTTTTGTTTAAAATGAGGCAAATTATTAGAAAGTCAACTTGATGCAATCATCAAGCGCAAAGTGCACTCGTCTGATCGTGATTTAACTGAACAGCACTTTATACTTTTATGTCGGTCAGCTGAAAAAGAAATATAAAAATTAGAACGTGGCGCAAATTTGCTAATTGCGGTTCTCGTACTTGCATTAAGTTACCAAACAAGGAACTTCTGGTCGTGACCACGTTCTCACTGTCCACGACCAGGATATGCAAGTCTTTTTTGTGCTTATTTCAGCACCTAGTAAATATTTGCTGTGCTGTGTGATAAAACCACATTTGTGTGTGTGAGTCTGTCTCGGGAACATTTCTGCCAAATGATGCACGCTGCTGTAAGCTAGCTGTCAATACCTAAAGCTGGAAAAACCGACTAAACAGCGTGTCTGAGTGGCGTGGTAATGATAGGGATTAAAGATAATTCATGTAAACATCGATTATGGGGTTACAGATTCCCGAAAAGGAAGCAGTCGAAGTGGAAAAACAGGCCAGCCCTACCTTTGCTTCATGCTCTGTGGTTCCAGTCCAGCGTGCTGTTGATAGTCATTGTTGGAGAGATTAAGACTGGCCTCCTTGACTACACCCCTATCTGGCTCTGCCCTCTACATTTCCTGCTTTTTTTTAAAAAAAAAAACATGATGGTTATTTGTTTTTTTTTCTGTAAGATTTAATAACGATTCACAGCTAACGTCTCTGCTTGCTGTTTTTTTATTTTTTAAATGACTAGTATTTCAAAGATGTTTAATTTTTATTTACACTTTGACTAAATTGCTCAAATGTTTCTGTCTTTTTAACTCTTCAGTATATCTTCTGTTTTCCAACAGTCTTATTGGTCTACGTTTCAATTGTACGTCTAAGAATATTATTTATGATTGAGTTAGTGCGAGAAAAACACACTGTTCTTACATCTGTTCTCACATAGTTACACAATCCCTGTCACAATACAATGAGTGTGCTGTGTAGTAACCGTCAAAATATGTGAGTGCACTGGAGATAATTATGTTGGAAGGTTGATAAAACAAAAAAGGAGGCATGCTTTCACACACACACCTCGGTACATCATGAACCGCATCTGCATTCATGTGAAGGTGTGTCAGTCATTTTTTATGATCAACAAGGGCATGTCTTCTTTATATAATGCAATAAAGAGGTCATGCGGAGCTCTTTCGTTTTGATTATTGACTCTGTAAATGTCATGGCAATTAGCGTAAAAGCTCAACCGTCTTTTGTTGATACTCCTCATAAAAAGCACATAATGAATACTTTGCACAGGCACGACTTACAAAAAGTCAGAATGTGACGCTAACAGATCTGTCCTGCATGTTTAGACTCAGCATGAAGGTCACTGTGAATTCGAGCGGGTACCGTGCGAGGCCTGCCAAAACTTAGTCCTCCGTTCAGAGAAGGAGAGACACAATGAGCGAGAGTGTGAGGCCAGAACGCTCAACTGCAAATACTGCAAAATGGCGTTCCACTTTAAAGACATCAAGGTGAGAAGCCGACATTAATAAAAGCACAGTCGCTTGTTGTTTTGTTGTTGATGGACCTGGAGTAATATTGTCATGCTGTTTTTAAAGGCCCATGATGAGATCTGTGTGAAGTTTCCCTTACAATGCAAAGACTGTGGCAAGAAGAAGATCCCCCGAGAAAAGGTTTGATCTGTTCCTAAAATCACCCTGTATTATTCCTCATCAATTACTATGTGGTTTTAAGTTGTTCACGATTGTAAAGCGTGTTATTTTGTCACTGGAGAAAGACCCTTAAGGGACTTAATCATGTAATCCATCATTATACTGTAACCAGTGGAGACTTTAGAGTCTGTCAGGAGCCGAGAGTAAAGAGTCTTCTCTGTACGGGATGTTTTAAGGATCAGTGCTTCAGAACTCCTAAGTTTCTTTCTGAATGAATCCTGAGCACTTTCACTTCTCTTTTGAGTAAATGAACTCTTTGAACTGGTCCAATAATTCTTAACTGAATGTTTTGTCCCTTTTGCTTTCAGTTCAATGACCACATCAAGTCCTGTGCCAAATCAAAGAGTGCCTGTCCATTCAATGAAGTGGGCTGTAAATCTGTGGTATGTACATCCACCTGCTCAAATACAATGTTTTCATTCAGGTTTTTTTTTTTTTTTCTTTTGAAGGGAGATGACAAAAGTATCAAAGGAATCCACAACAAAGTTCCCTACACAGACATTAAAGTATTACTTCATCTGAATCATAATGATGATTATTAGTACGCTCATACATGTACAGAAAGAATAACACTAAGAGGTGTGTAGCTTAGCATAGCCTAGTTTATTATAAAGACACAAGTCTGGGACAACAGATGGAGCAGCCTTGTCTAAATGTATGTAGTGTTTATTGAGCGCCATGGAGCCGATCGCTCCCTCTGTAGTCGATGCTCGTGTTTCCACTTCACGCGGCGAGGTCGCTCTTTAGCGCGTGCTAGCAGCGCAACCTCGCTCTGCTCTGCTCTGCCTCAAATACGCACCGCCGTCTATTTTCCATTGAGCCCGCTGCAAGCATGCGTCAAGCAGAACAGAGCAGATCGACCTGGACAGGAAGTGAGACACGAGAATGCACAGCGCAAAAAAAACACACAAAAAAAAAAATTCATTCATTTGCACCAAATGAAAAGCAGGTCGACCTCGGACAGACGAAGTAAACTGTTTTGCACGTTGTTCTCTTTATTCCCGCGTCATCTTGTAGTTCTCCTGGAATCTTGTGAACCTGTGAGTCGAGCTGCTCACGGCTCCAGAAATGGACCCGGTGGGGGGTAGGGCGCGAGCAAAAACACATCGCTGTTGGAACGCTGCGCACACCGATCCCGTGGAAAACCGCCAGTGAGTTGTAATGCAAGGCACCACATGTTTAAATGTTTGCAAGGGGAAACTGAAATTCACAAAGCAGAGAAGTAAATATTTAACGGCTGCAGTGTGGACAGCGAGTGTTCGATCGTGCCCGATGCGACGCAATATCGAACGCTGTCGTGCTGTTAGGACGAGCTGTTTTGAGACCAACCTTCATATTGGTAACAGTATGTCCCATGAATAATTCAATTGTATGTTCTATTATTCCTCTGCTTTTCACACTATTTGAAGAATATACTTTTTGCTCATTGAAAATGATTCTGAGTGCAGTTTGTTTTCTTCCATTATTTAAGAAGTGGCTCAAATTCTTCTGTTGTGTTTTTCAGATAGAGAACGGGAAGCTCGGCGACCACGAGCACAGCAGCACCATGGAGCACTTGCGTCTGCTGCTGTCGATGGTGCTGGCCGTGGGTCAGACACGGGCTGACCCCGCTCAAGGGGAGTGGCAGGAGGACTCTGGTCTGGGCCTGTACAGGTCTCCTGAGGAGGGAGTCGCTATGGGTTCCGGAGCTGCAGCCTCTGTGCAGCCCATGGATTTGGATAAGAAGGTAAGTCTCGATTGATTGAAGGCTTTTTACTGCTCAGTTGTGTTTTTAGGTTTTGAATGAGGATCTGAATGTACTTGTTTTCTTTGGCAGGTAAACGCTTTGGAAAACATCGTTTGTGTACTTAACCGAGAGGTGGAGCGCAGTTCGGTCACGGTGGCGGCTTTGTCGCATCAACACAGAATAGATCAGGAAAATATTGAAAACCTGTCCAACCGAGTGCATCAGCTGGAGCGGACGGTCCAGATGAGAGACTTGCAGCTGTCTGAACGAGAGCAGATGGTGCGAGAACTCCAGTTCTGCACCTACGACGGGATCTTTGTCTGGAAAATCTCTGACTTCTCACGCCGCAGGCAGGAAGCTGTGCTTGGCAGGGCGCCTGCAATGTTCTCTCCAGGTGAGATGACATATGTAATCATTGCCCATCATGCATTTCACCTGTCCTCTTTGCACGTGGCTCTTATCATGCGCTGACAGATTATTAGGAACTGAAATACAAATACAAAACGCAAAGACAACAGACCAGATCATTAAAAATAAACAGATCGATCATCGCACTTCTATCATGCAGTTAATAAATAATGACATGAAATAAAGAACTATTTTTTGTGTTTATGTTATTTAGGGCAACTGCCTTGAGCATCCTCCTCATAATCATGTGTTTTGCATGATCTTTACTATTGGCGTGTAGTTGAGGGACTTTCCTCTTCACTACGCCCTTGTTGTTCTTCATGGAGAGTTTGTGTCACTGTTTTCACATGACTCGTATTTTTAGGCTCTGCTTACATTCTGGATTCTTCTTCTCCTCCCACAGCGTTTTACTCCAGCAAATACGGATACAAAATGTGCCTGAGGTTGTATTTGAACGGCGACGGGACGGGCCGAGGAACTCACCTTTCCCTGTTCTTTGTCGTCATGAGGGGAAAGTGCGACGCTCTGCTCAAATGGCCGTTCAGTCAAAAGGTAGGACGACTTACAAAAAAAATAAAAAAATAAAAAATAAATATTCATGAGGATTAAAAAGCATTAAATCAACCATTTCTCCCCCAAGGTGACTCTGATGCTTTTGGATCAAAACAACAGGGAGCACATCATAGACGCTTTCCGTCCCGATGTTACCTCCACCTCCTTCCAGCGGCCGATCAGTGAGATGAACATCGCCAGCGGCTGCCCGCTCTTCTGCCCGCTTGCTAAACTGGCGGGCAAGAGCGCGTACCTGAGAGATGACACAATCTTCATCAAAGCCATCGTAGACCTAACAGGCTTGTAATGTGTGTATACTGTGGAAGGTACACAAAAACATGTGGAAGGAAAAGAAAATTACTTCAAATAACAATATATTAAGTATTATTACATTATGATAATACATATTACAATATATGACATATTGTGACTAAGATATAAATACATCATAAGTTAAGAATGTCCTCCAGATGTTCTTGGGAGTGTCACAGTAGGGCAGATGTGAAACTTAGTGTGAAATAACAAACATGGTTGTGGCTGTGCATTCTTTGTTCATCCATATTTAGTGGATAAATTAATCTGACTTTTCGTAGCCGATGGACCGATGCACTGACACCTCCATGTTGAAACTCTGCTTTAGATGAATTTAATAAAACAAGCTGCAGAGCTGCAGAGTTAAATATGACTCTCACTGCAATCCTCCTGATGTGACACTCTCTGTATTCAGATGAAATACAATAACATATATTATTGTTTATATTAAATATACAGTACATATATATTACAACATGTAACCCAGCATGTTAGCCCTCTTCAAGCAGTTAAAGTTTGCTTTTAGAATTTACATCTAAACACTATAGTTTCATATAGCTCTTTAAACACCTGTTTAGATCAAAATAAACCTCATGGCACCTCAACTGTTAAAACTCAAGAGAGGCATGCATCAGTGTGTTGTATCATCCTGGACACAGATGCATTTCTTCTGAATAAAATAACACTGTTTGACGAGACTTCATGTGCTCACAGCAGCACCGACATATTCAGGCTCTGGTCATCATTTGACCTCTAAATCTATGGTCACCTCTATACCCATTACACTGTACATACTTCAGTATGTTCAATCCTAATCTTAAAATGTGTGCAGTGCATAACTTTTTCCTAGAAAAACTGTGATAAAAGACATTGTTTATTTATTATACTTGTCTACTTTCAATTTTCCATTTAACCTGAGGTAAGTTTTTCCATTGTGTTTGTTTGTGTGTATATGTAAATTATATACATACATATATATATGCATATTATTTTTATTTGTAAATTGTAATGAATAGATTGCAGTGGTTTATAAAGGTTGTTAGAGTCTGGGTCAAAAGTTATGCAGTCTTATAATTCAAATAAACATTTTCACTATCCTAATGACTTGTACATTTGCTGTTGCTTTTATTGAGGCTTGTTTATCAGCGATTAATGACGACTTTGAAACTATTTAGGAACTACCAGTAATTATAATAAACTCCTACTTCTGAGCCTTTAGATAGTGGTTTCTTAAAGCTCCTGTGAGGGTCTTTAGGCTGTGTTGATTCTGACGCCCCCCTGAGGACAAAGCGATGCATCTTCTTTCTTTGCAGAGTTTCACCTGTACTTGTGTAAGTGGTGTTTCTGCAGCATCACTTTGATGTTCACCTACCCTGCGGTGGGACGGTGGAATACGACGGTATCTGTACTTGTTTCAGTTTTGAAGAAAGCATTGAAGAAAGATGGAATCATGTTAGTTATGACACTGATTGCATTTCTTTTTTTTTTGCATAAGGGACTTTTGTCTCAAAAGGCTGAATGGAAAATGTACACACATGCAAAATTTGACATTTATAATTACAGATAAGGATTTCATTATTTTGCAAGCTGTGCATTATATGTGGGTGATTGTGATAAAGACACTGGAGCTACTTCATAGTGATTTTGACGCACATATAGCTGGCAGCATTTACTTCACCTACACTTTTCAAGTAGATTGAAATGAGCTTCATTTTTACTCAGAGATCTCAAGGTCAGGTTCAGTGTCACAAAAGGTAAAAAATATGTCAACCTACTGCAATGTGACCCTGCTGATATATATCGAGGATGTTCTCATTGTGTGGGGAGTTTTCATAACGGTTTTTGTGTGCAGTGCTTTCCGCTCAGTCTTAACTCGGGTGTCAAACAGTCCATCAACAGCTTGCAATACGCCTGCCTTTGCAAAAAGGAAATAAACACCACAGCAAAGCACTGTGTCAACAAAATAACGGAGAGAGACTGTTTGTTAGCCTAGTTATGGGCTTGTTTGGCTTGTTGCTGCTGTAACAACAGTTTAAGAAACATACAGAAAGTAAAAGCCGCAAGAATTTTCTGCAAACGCAAACTGAAAGAACTTAAAGCAATGAGACGAAAGACAAGTGAGCTACTCTGTCAAACTTTCACACAGAGATCAGGTGACTGCTCGATAATTTACAACCGGTTCAAGTGAAAACATCATTAAATGAATGTGTCAGTAACATTAAAAAAGGAGACAATTTGAGGCAGCATGCCATGAAAAATAGTAGATTCATGGTCCCCAGAGGGTCAATCCCTAAGACGTCAGTGGTCCCCTAACAACTCCAGCAGGTTAATCCATTATCTAAAAAAAAACTAAAACAGATGTCAAGAATGAATGACTTCCCACAACCTCACCAACATGAGGATGACATCTGCTCTTATGTTTCATGAAACATCTAAACTTTTTTAGATGTTTTTTTTTTCTTCTTCCAGATGAATTTTTAAAACTCAACTTTTTTATCAACCTCCATCAACTAGGTTTAAACGTTCTTTTTTCTATACTGTGGTTTTGATCTAAAGCCAGGAAACTAACTGACCACGACTTCTCATCAACTGCAGCTATGTAAAGAAGCTCAAAGCCAAAGTGAGAAAACCAAACTGATAAAATAAGTTTCCGTGGTTGTTTGAACGTGTCACACGTTTGAGCGTGTCACCATACCAGTGTTAGCATTTAAAGCCACACAGAGCTGCGAGACTTTGTCAGTTTTGCCTTAACTCAATTTGAAGTGATTATAAAAAAAAAAAAAAAACCTAAACGCTTGCATTGAAACAACTGAGTCATCATAGACCTGTTGCAGGTCTACGGTCAGACGACAAGAGAGCTTGATATACTATGTGTTTCCCCTGCTGTGGGGCAGTAATGGAAACCTAAATGACATCATGGCTTGATTTATTTTAACAGTCAACAAACCAGAAGCCATAACAATAAAACCAACTAGAGGAAATGCGTGTCATCTTCTTGTCAAAAGACAGAAGTTATTGTGAAAATGTGGAACTTCCTTTCTTTGCTGAAGCGTTTCAGTTTAGAAGAACACCTTGTCCCAAAGAAAAATTATTCGAAGGAATGACAAGCTCTTCCTCTTCATGTAACAGAGCTCCTATGCTGACATAGTTATGAACAGAATATGTTTTATATCAAGCTGAATGTGTTTGTACTAAAGGACTGTCAGTAAGCCAAAATATATTTCAAATCATCTCCCAGGGACTCTAAACTGAAAAGTTGTCTCTTACGGATAAAATGTTCAGAAAAAGGAAAATGTGTCTGAAAGATGAATGCATTTTTGAATAGAACCATCAGTTTCAGCCCTCATTTGGTTTAAGACTTAAAACATTAGGATCTAGTGTTGTAGTCAAGACCACACTAAACAAGACCAAGACATATCCGAGACCAGAGTCAAGACCAAGACATTTAGGGGTCGAGACCGAGACTAGACCAAGACATTTAGGGATTGAGACCGAGTCAAGACGAAGACATTTAGGGATCCAGACCGAGACTGAACCAAGACATTTATGGATCCAGACCGAGTCAAGACCAAGACATTTGGGGATCCAGACCGAGTCAAGACCAAGACATTTAGGGGTCGAGGCCGAGTCAAGACCAAGACATTTAGGGGTCGAGACCGAGACTAGACCAAGACATTTAGGGATTGAGACCGAGTCAAGACGAAGACATTTAGGGATCCAGACCGAGACTGAACCAAGACATTTATGGATCCAGACCGAGTCAAGACCAAGACATTTGGGGATCCAGACCGAGTCAAGACCAAGACATTTAGGGGTCGAGGCCGAGTCAAGACCAAGACATTTAGGGGTCGAGACCGAGACTAGACCAAGACATTTAGGGATTGAGACCGAGTCAAGACGAAGACATTTAGGGATCCAGACCGAGACTGAACCAAGACATTTATGGATCCAGACCGAGTCAAGACCAAGACATTTGGGGATCCAGACCGAGTCAAGACCAAGACATTTAGGGGTCGAGGCCGAGTCAAGACCAAAACCAAGACCAAGGCTGGGCGAGACTGAGACAAGAAAAAGACCAAGACATTTAGGGATCGAGACCAAGTCAAGACCAGGACCAAGACCAAGTCTGGGCGGGACCGAGACAAGACCAAGACCATAAATATTAATTTAAAAAAATCATCATCTTGTGTGCAGCGTGTGTGTACCTCACTTAGACCGTAACACCATGAAGGTTGCAGCTGTAACCGGGGGATCAAAAATGCTTTTCAATTCAGACCGAGGCCTTCAAAAAGCGGTCTCGAGATCGGTCTTGAGACCAAGATCGATTTTGAGAACCAGAACACTGTTTGGATCTAATAAATAGCATCATCCTCAGGCAGACTTCTCTGAGCCAGTAAGAAAAAGCTATCACACGACTTCAGGAGAGTGGACGTGGTAAATGTTGGTCTAATGATTAGACTCTGATCGGTATAAAAGTGTTTTTAAAATGTGAACATGCCAATATTGGAGCTGTTAGAATAAATGAAGACCAAAGTTTGATGCTGTAGCTTAAAGAAGAATGATGCTTGTGTTTGTATGGAGAGACTGTGTCTACAGTAGAGATCAGAGTTCACCTGTATTCACCTTTTTCATACCAATGAGAAAGCTCTTGTTTGTGTCCACTTCTCTGACCTACTGTAAATCTTTGCTCAAAAAAGCTTTTTAAAAAAAGGAAGTTAATCCGACACTTTAGTAGACTTCTGGCCTTTCAGGGCATGCTTTTTATTTCAGGGGTGTACAAAAATAACACAAGTTGACAGATAACATGTTCTGAAAGAATCAGCTACAGTCCAAACATTAGAAAAGAAAGTTGACAAGGGAGAAAGCAAGGAGAAAGTTCTATTACACACATTTAGAAAAAGAAGGAAAATATTGTTCAATTGGTGGCAAGAGTCAGCCGAAGAAGTGACCAAATCACACCGATCTCTCTGACACACGAACATGCAAACACAACCAGTTCATAAATATAGATGGTTTTATAATCAGTCTCAACTGTCTTAGGTAGGGGATCTCCAGGAGTCCACCAGGTGAAGTACCTGAACCGTTTTCGGGGTAAAGCGTAACTGAATGCAAATGTCATGGTTTATGTCTTACAGTCACTTTTTGGTTTTTTGTTTTGACTTGAGACGGCTTGTCGAGCGTTAAGACTGAATTAAATGTCGAAGACGACGACAGTTATTATCGGAAAATAAGGGGTGGCCAATTTTTACACAAACATTCAAACACAAACAGATTTTGAGTCTAACCTTTGAAAAGCAGTATTTCTATTAATCTCAGTGTTTGTCTCTTTTGTATTTCCATGGCTGTGTTAGAGCATTTTAAATAGTTTGTGTGTTGTTGTGCCGATTCTTTAAAGTAAAACAATTTCAACCAAGACATCTTTTTGGTTGTTTGATACAGATATTATATTTGTGTGGCTGTGAATGTCTGTGAATTTTAATTATAATCCTTCCTCCAAATCAACACTTCTCCAAACAGCGGCAACAATCTGTTTTTTTTTTTTAACAGAACTTTATTACATGGCTGATCATTAAAAGCTTCTTTGTAATATTCACTTTTGAAGTGTGTGAATTTCACAGTTTCTTTCACAGCAACAGAAACAGACATGTTGTATCCTAAAGGTCAAACAAAGGTCATACATGTATAAAGACGTTAAACAACGTGGGACAGTTAAATATAATAACACATAAAGGGACTCTTTTTTTTTCTGACACACAAAAACAATTGGATACCCGTCCATCAAAATGTCAGACGTTCTTGTTTATAGATATAGATGTATTGATGTGTTTGGAGGGACTTTTGGGTTCTCTGTATGCATGTTCAATATGTCAAAGTACACCACACTCTATAAAAGGATTTTACACAAACCCTGTGACATGTCATGATGAGAAACGATAAAACCCTTTTACTTAAAGGTCACATATTATCCTCCTTTTCAACAAGTTTAAAGAAGTCTCAGAGCTCCCTGAAACATGTCTGTGAAGCTTCTTGTTCTAGATCCACTCTGATCCTGTATTTGATCATGCCTATAAACCCCTCTTATTTCAGCCCTGCTCAGAACAGACTGTTTATGTGTCTGTAGCTTTAAATGTCAATGAGCTGTGTCTGACCACGCCCCCTCTCTGGAATCGGATGCCTAACACCCTGCCCAAATTGTACACAGTGAGAAGGCAGACTCAGAGAGCAGAACAAACACCTAGCTGTGGGAGTGTCACCCACCTGGGGGAGGGGTTACTGCCCTTTGTGATGTCATGAAGGGAAAATCTCCAAACGGCCTGTTTGAACACACATTTTCTGAAAAGTGGAGGAGGCGAAAGACGGAGAGGACGGACTTTTCTCTTAATTGGGGGGTGTATTTTGCATAATATGTGACCTTTAAAAAAAAATACTCCAGGAGGTTCAGATTCAGATAGGCAGATTTAAAGGCGGCAGCTTTGTGCTACAAATGATCTAAGGTGTTTAAATACAACTCTACATTATAACGTTTTTTTTTTGCAGTCTAGCGTCAAGCTAACTGCTCCTCAATAACTCTTCTAGATAAAATGACTCAACAATTGTACTTTGAACAGAAAGGTGATGGATTTATTCTGCGGCACAGAAAAAATGGGAGGGGATAAAGAAAAGGCAGACTGCAGTAAACGCAGCTAAATGCTGTCTTCCCTTTTGTTTTGTTTGAATTCTCTGGAGACAGGGTTCATTGGGTGTTTATACTCATGACATCAACTGAATACATCCATAAATAAGAAAAGACTTTTCTGAAATGATTCTGAGTTACAGCAGTTTGTCTCTGATGAGCAGGACATAAGGTTTTATCTCTGCAGAACATTTACACACATTTACACCTCAGGTCCAGGAGTCCTGTGTCTGACCCTGATCTGACAAATAAAAACAGACAAGAACCATCTCTTGGGGAACACGTTTGGACGTCTTGTGCGTTTAGGTGTCAGCTCTACACTATCTCTATCTGTGATAAAAAAAAAAAAATAGAGCAGAGTCTGCGCTGCTTTCTGTCCTTGTGCTGGTGCTCTGGCGCCCTCTTGTGTAAACCTGAGTCACATCACAAACCCTCTCCTGTCAGCTGAAGATCACCAGCACTTCTGAGTCACAACATCGTGAGCTCAAGCAAAACAACCGCCTGTTTCCACACTGTACATATACATGGAGTGTATGTATATTTCTATTCACACCACAGAGGAAAGAGATCAAACTTTCCCCCTCCCTCTCCCTCCCACTGAACTGTGTTTTTTTTTTTTCTTCCAACTTGACTCACGGTTTTCCGTTCACACTGCCGGCAGATGTTGAGTTCTTGTTGCGGCTCATCCAGGACGACAGGAGGTTGCGGGGCCTTGGCGGCCTGGAGGGAGTCTGAGACAGGCGGACCATCCGTGGTGAGCGCCACACCTTTATGGTAGAGTCATCGCTGGCAGACAGCAGCAGCTCCTGGTCGGCAGGGCTGAACGCCACAGAGTTCACCACGTCGTCGTGTGCCAGACGCGCCAGGCAGATGTTGTAGTGTCGGTCCCAGATGTACCCGTGCTTGTCCTCTGCTCCACTACAGGCAGAAGTGGGTGAGATATGTCAGTGAACTGTTTTGATCCTTTCACTCAGAAGCTACAACAATATTTTCTTATGAATTTATCTGCAGATAAAAAGACATTTTCTTCATTAAAAGAAATCAATCAACTATTCACATTAATGATGCACATCATTCTTAAAATTAATCGCAGAATCTTGTTTTCAGATGTTTATTAGCAATCATCTACTGCTGTCTCTGTCTTACAGAAACCTGCTTGTGAAACAAAACAGGGAGGGAGCTGAGGGATGAAGGAGGTGTGTCTGAACAGAAGATTTGTTTTGATCTGAAAATCTGCTCTAAAAGTTGCAAAGTAAGCCTTTGCAGTTGTTTTTATGAATTATTTTTAAGTATAAAAAATGTTTTATTCAAATGAAGTCATTATTAATATGTTACATGTTGATTTTGTTCTGTGTATGCTAAAACCAATATGAGCTTTGACCATGTTTGAAAAAGGAGTTTTTTATAACAGAAGGTTTCTCTAGATGAATACTGAATAATTTATTAACCATGCTGTTGAAAGCAGTATTTATACAGTCTTACTAATGACCTTTAGAACTTCTTCTTTCTTTCATCAGTTTTGGAAATCTTCCAAGATCCTTGAACGCAACCATTAAACCCTGCACAAGGTAAATACGCTTATCTTCAGAGGCGGGTGAGTCTCACTAACATAAAAGCTGCTTTTTGTTGTTTATCTCTCTTCTGAAACAGGTTTCAGTGGGGAACTCCTCAGAAATGTTTCTGTTATTGACCAGCCAGAGAAAAGATCAGCCTTCTTTTTTTTATGACTTTCATTACAAATTTACATCTGTCCTTGTTTTCTGAAAAGCATTTTTGTGTGGAATTACTGCCTTTAACGGAGGACACAAACTCTCAAAGATAAATGGAAATGCCTGGAAAAGAGAGTGGGACAAATATACAGCAAAAAGCCTTATCTGAATTTAAAACGTGGTTGCTTCTTGTATTTTGCTCCTAAATCAAACCTAAAAGTTGATGTATACTGTTGCTAAAAAATGTCAGACATCATATGAGTTTGTGACGATTGTCCAGTAAAATATGTCGTCATGGAAACGAAGATGTGACTATGACTCAAGCAGTCAAATTGGGACAACAAATTCCCTATTTTTACATTAAGAGAACGCAATCTTTTCTTCACCTACCTGGCAACAAAGTCTCTGCTGACATCAAGGAAGATGAAGAAGCACTCATCGTTGGGCGTAAAGGCTCGGTGCGCGCGCAGACTCCTTCTCTCCTCCCTCAAACTCTTCAGATCGATCACGTGGAGATCGATCTCCTCTGCGATCGGAGGAGGAGACATGGGGTCGGAGATCACGCACCCGGCAGGCCACGCCCGACTGTTTACATAAAGGTACCTGATCAAGGAGAGAAGGGAGTGGGTTTAGGGTCAAAACATCAGGTGAGGTGTGACCTTGTATATTGAGGGAATAACATATCTCTGACGTTAAACTGAAGGGGCGAGACCATGAAATACTCTGAGCAGGTTTACAAAAAACCTATGCCAAGGTATTATCACACTCATTTTTGTTTAAAAAAGCCAAACCTTTACTACATTTAGACCCTGGGTCAACTCTTCTCCAGCAGTTTGGAGCCCTTAATCAACAGATCTTTGAAAACACTACTGACCTTTTTAAGTGTCCAAACTCTTTGAGTGTTTAGTTTGTATCAGGAAAAACTAGGGATGCAACGATACCACCAACTCCAGATAAAATAAATCAGGATACTGGTTTTATGATATAATTATATCACAAATATATATTCTATTTATATTTATAGTAATGACATTGAAGTCAGTTGATGAATAAATATGATTCCTTTAATTTAATTCCCTGACAATAACATTACAGTGGTTCTTAATTTTCTTAATACATGAGTAATACTTTTAATTTATAGGGTGTATAATTACAGATACAACAATGCACTGAATTCTCCCAACAACTGAATTTGTCTCACTTTATGAAAGATTAAATAGGCCCAAATCCTTAAAAGGCGAATGCACGTCGTAATCTCTGAGGCTCTTGCACTCGTTTAGGTGAGCAGGATTTCAAAACGGCTCCCCAAAGAATGTTGGGAACTGAGGTTGAACTGAAGTCAGAGCCCAATGTTGGGATGACGTCAAAACCAGATGTTAAGCTGCTGTTGAATAAGAGAGGCCAACAGCAGTCAGTGCCCTCTTCTGGCTATGAGTCACATGTAGGAGTTGAAATGAAAACAGATTTATGAATGAGATGGGAAACAGAATAGAGAGACGAGAACTAATAGTGGAAAATGTTGAATGTGACTTTCCAGCTGTTGGTCAGAGGAGTGTATAAACCCTATTGGTGTTTTCTCCTTCGGCTGACTATTTGACCGTTTGTCAAATTTGACTATTTGTGTGTGTGTGTGTGTGTGTGTGTGTGTGTGTGTGTGTGTGTGTGTGTGTGTGTCCAGCATCCAAGTAGGCAAGTATACACATATTGTTTGAAATAAAGACATAAAAGCGAATCATTATAGTGTCAGACTCCCCACTTTGGATTTCTGCAGCATCATCTGTACGTCATGCTTTTCCTCCTGGGACTCCACCCTCTCTCCTCACGCCTGACAGGGAACATTTTTACACTATCCTGTCATTTTCTAGAACTTTTCAGGAGTGCATGTGTAAAAAAACAAAACGTGTTTTTTGTGTGTGGATCGGTAAACCAACACGAAAATGCTCAGTGCACATGAATGACCTCGTGATATTCATCTTCAAGCCTGTTGGCATGGACGGTGAATAGTTCTTAAAGTACTAAAATGCTGAAACAGTTTATCTTTTTAAACACTTTTAAGAATGTTAAAGACTTCATTTAGGCAAACAGAATCTTCAAATGGTTTCCCTCACCTGTGGTCTGGAGAAAGGCCCATCCCGATGATGTGTCCGTGGATATCTATGACATGATCCAGCGAATCAAAAAACTCATCTGAACTCCGCTCCTCCCCGAGTACGGGACCAGAAGTGGTCATCTGGTCCGGCTTGATCCGTTTAATTCCTTCAAATGAACAAAAAGAATCACATGACGGCTTATTTTTCTTTGTTTGCAGCACATCTGCACGCCTTAGCTTCTGTCTTACCTATCTGGTGAGGGGAGTACGTAAGGCTGCCAGTGGTGAAGAGTAAGTAAGTTTTGTCCTCATCGGGATCAGACGGCTCGATTAAGCTGGAGGCAGGAGCCTTCGTGTACACTCTGCCCATCATCTGAGCCACCTGGGTCTCAATCTCCAGCTCACTGGGCTCCACGTTTTTACGACTCTAAAATTAAAGAAGAAAAACAGGCACAAAAATAAAGAACGCCATTACTTTAACCTTGGATCAAGTCCCTGAGTGTCACAGCTCGCTCACCTGTATAACTTGCTCAAGGCCAGAGATAGTGGGCTGAGAAATGCGGGCAGAGGAGACACCATGACACCTGGCCTCCTTTTGGCGTTCCTTGTCCTCCTCCTCTTCATCTTCTTCCTCGCTGCCGGAGGTCCCCAGGTCGAAGAGAAGAGGCTGGTGGTGCTGCTGCTGCTGCCCCTTCATCCGTCGAGCCTGGGACTGAGCCTCGTAGTCTAGCAGCAAATCCGGGTTGTCGTGGCGACGACAGTGGGCCACCATCACCGTGCGGATGGTGCTGGCGTTGATGTTCTGGATCTTGAAAAGGCGTTTGACTACGTTGACGTTCTCCGATTCAACGTCCTGTTGGAGAAAACAAAAGAAAGTGATTATTATTTTTTATATTTAATGAAACATGCTTCCGTTTATTTACACCTGGGAGCTGCCAGGATAAATCGAGTTAGCCAAATACAAAGTGAAGGACCCTATTTGGAGTCACGTGTTTATTCCTAACTAGCTAAACCAAAAGTAGTTTAAAGTTTGTTTAATTAGTCCCTCCCTCTGTACTCAGGACATGTCTTAAAGAGCCCATATTCTGCCCTTTTTGGGGTTCATATATTTAATCTATGTACCTACTTTTGTACGTTCACAATAGCTAAAGTTTGAAAAAAGTGTCTGTTTTCATGTACTGCTCCTCCTTGCTCCCTCTACGCTCTGAGTCCGTCACCTGCACTCTGTTGAGCCCACACTGTTAGACCCCACGTGGGCCAAGTCTGCTCTGATTGGTCTGCCGATCCGTTCTGTCGTTATTGGTCAGTTGCTCAGCACGCGTCTCGGAAATTTCAACATGAGCTGCAGGGCTTGCCACAACGAGCCAATGAGCTTAGATCAGTGATCTCACACTGACAAAGACGTCGGACTGACAAATTTTTATCGAGGGGGGCTAGAACCGAGCGTTACATGCAGCTAATGCTACAGCTAACAGGAGGACGTAGGAGAAGTCGCGTTTCCGCGGACTTTGAATTTTTGCACACAGATGTGCCTAAACATGCACAGGACACTTGGAAAACACACTAAAGGGCATATAAAACCAGAAAAAGCAGAATATGGGACCTTTAACCGGCTTTCAGATGCTGCACTGAGTCTCACCTGGAATGCTTTGTTGAGCCAGAGCACAGAGCACGACGTCATGTTGCCGATCCAGTGCAGGTTCCCCGAGATCAGGTGGGTCTCGTTCAGCCAGCAGCCGAACACATCGTACGGTTTGTTCCTCACCCGGGACAACAGCGTGTAGTTTTCTTAAGAGTGTAAAGACATGGACAAAAGGTCTTCATTTTGTTGAAATGACTCACAGATTTAATATCAATCTTTCATTTTATTACCATAAACTTGGTTACACATTTACAAGGTACAGCGAGCTTAAACTAAAGCATTCTTAGAAAAGATTCCTGCTTTGTGAAGGTTTGAATGTGGGCTTTTTGTTGAATCTTTAGAGAGGCGCTGGTATAATGTTTCCTAAGTGTACCATTAACATTACTATTATTATTATTGCCTGATGGAAAAAGCACATCACACATACTGATAAAACCTTTGTTTGTGGAAGGAAACAATCCCACTAAACATTTGTGTGAAATCATCATCAAATCAAGCATCCGGAAATGATGACACCCAACCGTTGAGTGAGATGTTTGTGGTTCTTACCCAGACTGATGACAGCGATTTCCCCAGACGAGGAGTGGTGTGGACCAAGGTAGACGCCGGACACGAGCAGCAGGGTGTCGTCAGCGTTGAACTGGGAGAACTGGGTGTAGCCCCAGTTAAACTGACGCATGCTGGAGCTGTGCACCATCGAGATGTTCCCATCTTGCCGCTCAGTGTCCCATAGCTGCTCAGAAAAAAAGCCAGAATACAAAGTTGAAAACAAAAGAGCAGATGATAAAAGTGATGACAGCTGCTGTTGGTCGCACGTTGTGGAGATCACAGAAGAAAACATCACAAATAGGCAAAAATAAAAATGATAGAAAGGGCATCAGTGGCCACCTTAAAATGCACTAATTTTTGTGTCACATAAATAATGATACCTGACTGTTGCCTTACATAGCAGCATCACATAAGAAATGATGAGTAAAAGCAAGTGTTGTTTATTTTATGTCAGCAAGCTAATTTTTATAATCTTTTTGGTGGAAGCGCAGACAACAAGAGGCTGAAAGTACCTTGTAGTTCTTTGAAATCAGTTCCTGGGACTAAAATGCACAAGCACTCTGCAATTTATCCGATTCAAGTTTAGAGCTGCAACTGAAAAGTTTTCTGATCAAAGTGTTCTGACTGGAATTTATTTCAATTAATAAATCAGTCTGTAAAATGTCAACAAAAAATGTCAAAAGAAATTTTAATTTCAGCCAAAGTGATGTCTTCTTAAAGCTTCTTTTGTCCAACCAAAAGCCAAATAATCCAAAGACTATTTTTCAACGATTATTGATGACAAGAAGCAGCAAAATCCAAATGTTCAAGAAGCTGAAACCAGTCAATACTTCACATTTCAAAGCAGGAGTACAAGTCCACCACAGAAAAGAAAAGGCCTGCAGTTAGAACGTTACTAAATACTAAACACAATCACTTGACATGTTGTCAGAAAGCAAGAAAATAAGATCCAGCATGAAAGCTTAATCTAATAATCCTACCTTCACTGTGCAGTCCTTAGAGCAGGAGGAGAACCGGTGACCCCTGTGAGAGAAAGCCAGGTGGAGGACTTGGTCAGTGTGCTCTCTCAGGGTCTGAACCTCCACACAGGGGATACAGTCGAACAGACGCCTGAACTCCCTGTACCATGACACCGCGGCTGCACAAAGATAGGTCAAGTTGTCATTGGAGGAAAGAAAAACACCCAATTTTAACACCAGTTGGGTGAAGTGAGTGTGTGTTAAATACTTACCCGGGTGTCGGGGTACGGAGCGTGGAATGCGGTAGTAGCTGTAGAACAGCTCCCTCCAAAGGAACTCATCCCTGGAGACAGCGAGCCACTGTCTGCAGGTCAGACCGGCTTTCAGCACGGCATCATGGGGCAGACGCAGGAAGATCTCCAACACCAGGCTGTCCGGCAAAACTGGGACACACTCCATACTAACATCCTGTTTAGCATGAACACACACACACAATCCACAGGTACATTAGTGTGCTGTAAAGTTGAAGCAACTTCAGCCTAGCAACAGTTTTCTTCTTTATTACATTTTTTTTTTACCACAACACAAAAGATAAATCATTCAAATGAATCTGCTAATTACTCTGTCAATAAATAAGTTACTCTATTCAGACAGAAATTATTATGTTTTCTAAAAAGCTCAAAGTTTTTGTTGATGGTCTCATTGATTCATTTTTTTCCCGCTCTATTCAAATACAGATATCGATAGACCGACTGCAAACTCTGAACTGACATCTGACTCAAGTTTTTTAATGTTTCACTTTAATATTCACAAAATACTTTTTTACAAAATGTTATTTAAAAAAAACTACAAAGGTCTACATTTAATTTAACAACCATCATACGTTATAAACATAGTAAGTTCATAGCGATGGTTCAAATGTTTTGAATTTTGTTCTTGGATGTCTCTGCTCTAAATTAAGAGTTCATCCCGGTAGCCTAACGGTTAGTTCTCACGCTCCATGAACATGTTGTCCTCAAAGCAGGTGGCCCGGGCTTGAGTCCAAATTTTGGCTCCTTTTCCTCATGCCAATCCTCCCTATCTCTCTTTCCCCCGGTTTCTGACTATCAGTAGTCCTATTTATTTATTTATTATTTACATACTTTATTAATCCCTGAGGGGAATTCTGGTTTTCACTCTGTTACTGGGAGATGCTTCTCACGCACAAAGGCCAAAAATACACACATACACAAACAGGGCCTAAAGAACCTGAGGACCTGAACCAGCGAACCCTCCAGTTCCTAATCCAAGTCCCTACAGACTGAGCTACTGCCACCACTTTTAGTAAGAGCCAAAAAATACATCTTAGAAAATAAATGAATAAGAAGTGATCCAAGAGATAAACACTTGGCCTGATCCCAAAAATATAAAGCACACAATATACATTAATCAACAATACACTAACTATCCTAGTTTTATATTTAACACTGAGCCCATGAGTATGGACTTGACTTCAGACTTGACACTGACTTTGAAACTGAGCAAAGTTAACTTTGTTGCACGTTTGGTCCAGAAGTATTTCAGGCAACAGTTGGTGATTATTGATCACCATACAAACCTGAGTTATATGGAGACTTGTTAAGATGCTAAGACACATAGTAGTAATCATTCATTTATTTTGGTCACAAGAAAAAACAAAAACATCTTGACCGAAAAGGTGTAGGCTGAAGCTTTAGCTTATTACACCTACCCTTATTACAAATCATATCATTTAAGACACTACTAGTTTGGTTACAAAAACAAAACATATCAGAACAAAATTTGTTCTAAGAATTTCTTTCAAAACAAAACAAATGAAACAAACAAAAAACGAAACAGAAGTCACACTCACAAATATGTAATAGTACATAGTAAAAATGTAATGAACAATATGCTGCCGTGAACTATATAGTTTATAGATTTGTTTTTATATACAGGTGTCAGAACAAATGCTCAACACAAATGTCTTGTTTAAAATCCCTGCACTCACGTTCACTTCATTTGTCTGTCTACTCGCCGTTATATTGTATAGTTTCTGCTTATAACATGTCTACACTCATGCACTTTAACTCATGTCAATACTGTCCATTTACAATCTTTCATATTTAATTTACAACCATTTACGACTCTGTTTTTGCAGATCTTCCTATTTAAGACTCGTAATGCTTAGTTAAATCCTGGTTGTATATATTCCCATTTTTAGATTTGATATTTTTAGTGCTTATTCACTTTGTATTTAATATTATATTATATTTAGATTTGCTAACATTGTGTGTTTTTTACTCGTACTGTGTGTTTGGATAAACTGCTGCTGTAACGCCACAATTTCCCAGTTTGGGATCAATAAAGTAATTATATTATATTATATTCTTTGAACTGTGATCTGCACTTAAATAAATGTCAAACCTCACAGACTATCAGCTGACTTCCCCCTCCTCTGCTGACCACTCACTGATACATATTTTCAGCTTTAGCATTCAGAAGAACAGAAGATGTTTTTGTTGAAGGGAAAGTGACCCTACAATCATCATATTATTTACCCTGTTCACCCATAAATAACTGGAGGCCCCACCTTAACTGGGACTAATTTGAGCTTGGCTGAGAGCTGTACTGGAGTGTGTTTCAATGCACAGAGCTGTGTTTATTTCCGAGCAGCTCATAAAGAAAGCATCATCATGTTGGTTAGACATGTTCAGAGCATCCACATGTGAAAACGCACCACAGAAGTTGATTTTTCTGTGAGTTGTCAGGAGTCACAGAAAGTGTGAAGGAGAGATTTATGATCAAATCACACAAGCAGGGAGACTTGTCAGTGTGGCATATCCTCAATAACAACCTTACACAAGCGTATACAATCAGGAATTTCACCAGAACTCTATAAATGAATCGTTACTGTAGTCTAAACATGGTAAACAAAGGTCATCAGAGCCGTCGAGTGAAGATGACCTAACATGGACATTTTATGGTCGCTGCGCGTAAAACTCAAAACAAGTTACAGAGTTAACTATAAAAACAGACTGACTTACTAACTATCATGTAGCTGCAGAATTAATAACACGAGCTGGTTTTGAATAATGACTTAAAATAAGTAAAGAAATTAGTAAAGCTAAGCCGCTAGCAGGACATTTCTATCACGCTAACGTTAAGCTAACTGTTAGCTCACATTTGTATTAAAATCTAACATCTAATGTCTGATTACAGGCGGTTACAATATGCAGCGTTTCATTTACTGAAGTTATTCATCAGTTTTGCGCAGTACATAGTTGTTGACATAAACTGTGACCCACCTGCTGGATCAAAGTGTGTTAGAGAGGAAAAACCAAGCGGCTAGCTCTGACGGCTAACCACCGATAAAAAAAATAAATGACAACAATCCTCCAGCAGACTCGACTAACAGATCACAGCATCATCGATTCTACTGAGCCGAGCTCAATCTACTACCGACCATGTGTAAGATACGTTTTGTTGCTATTATAGAAAATCAAAAATGATGATAAGATTATTTCATTATTATAAGAAAACATTAGAAGGTTGACATATATTTATTTATTTTATTTTATTTTATTTTATTTTATTTTATTTTATTTTATTTTATTTTATTATTTTATTTTAGTTTATTTTAGTTTATTTTAGTTTATTTTAGTTTAGTTTTTAAATGTATTTTTTGTATCTATTTTTTTGTACATTCTTAATTTTTCTTTTTATATTTAAATTGTACTGTGTTCATTTTTTGTTTGCAATCTTTGCTCTTTGCTGCTGTAACACTGTAAATTTCCCCGTTGTGGGATAAATAAAGGATTATCTTATCTTATCTTATCCTATATGCATTTTCAATAGCCTTTTATTTTCTTTATTCTAGTTTAGAAGAGAAGATTACTCTAAGAAATTGTGGGATATTTTACATCCCAAAAAAACATTGTCCGTTTTTTTTTTTTTTTATTTCGTTTTTTATTTATTTATTTATTTGTTAGGGACAGTGCATATTAATGAACAGTAACAATTATAGCTGTAAAATGCCAGATTATAGAAGTGCTAGTTTCCAATCTGTTGTCCCTAGGCAGGTAACAGAGAATTACAAATTACAAATAAAATACAAAGGCACAAGTGACACAAGACAGTAATAGAGGTTAAAAGTGGTCACAGACTTGGTTTTCTTTTTATCCATTTTGAGGTGTGTTTTGAAGGTTGCACATGTTTGTGAGTCTCTTATTGTGAGTGGGAGAATATTCCAACATTTAGTTCCTTTGACTGACAGAACAGTTTGTCTGAATGTAGTGCGTCTGTGTGGGACCTCACAGTCTCCTCGGGCTGTGACATTTAAATATTACAGTTACTCAAAGCGTCTTTGTAAGCTAGGCTACTTTAAAGTGTCTGCATACCTGCTTTCTCATAGTTTGTCCAGAAGTGCAGTATAAGAGGTGTACAATATGCCTTAAACAAAGACATCTTCAAAGCTGCAGTTAAACCCTAATTACTTTTTGAGTCTAAATTTTTGAGGACCTACCTCCTCTCTGTATATTTTTTATGTGGACATCACTGGGAACTCTGAGCCCCATGAAAAGATATCACTGTGGGCCCAACCACCACAGCCAACCCAGCACATTACTATGACTACACCTCAATTATGCATTAAAGCTATAAAGAACCAAGACTTACTCTGATTTTTTTACAAACAAGAAAAGTGACAAACATCAAAATGTACACAGGAAGGTACGAGAAGTAAACTAATGTTTTACTATTTATCTTGTTACAGTCAATAACTTAGGCTATAGTGTTTAAAAGGTCACATCAAAATTCGGACACTGAAGACTATTAATCAATTTTTACAGTTTTATTTTTATTTTTTTAGATTCTTGAGTGAAAAATTCTACTGACATTATAAATAACTAACAATAAATGTAACATAGTCATATTCAACTCCTCTTGTCTTCAATTTAAAATTGAAATAATTCCCATAAGTTAATTTCCCCTCTACACTAAAATGTATTGTGGTTCATCTCACCTGACATTAAAAACATTTTTCTTTTTAAATTCCACCTTTAAAAAGAAAAATACCCAGGGACCCTTTCTCCCAGGGAAGTCGGTCCCCCTTTTCCCTCGGGTAGACGCCCGTGGGTGTAGATATATGAGAAGTGAAGCTAAGTGCACTCTTTCCAATGGCCAGAGGAGGGCAACTATGAGTTTCAAAATGAAATCCATTTGTGAAAAGGTCTATTAGAAAATGACCATACTGCTGTGTCATCTCTCACACTAAATAATGTAACACTTACTACTTGTGTGGTGTCCTTCAGTTCAGTGACATCACATTGAAGGTGGCATCAATCTGTGAGGAACTATAGAGTCTCTGTGACTGACGGAGAAACTGTGTCGTTGGCTTTTAGTGTCAAACATCTTCACACTGACCTCATGGAGACGGAGGAGCAGCTGGGCTAAAGAAGAAAAAAAAACAACTATGCTCTGATTACTCTTCTCCGGTAAGTATTGAAACACTCTGTGACACTTTTTGGAAGTCCAAATTTAAGCATACGACTTTGTTACAAACCACTTTTATCAGGACCTTCTACTGTTATTATTTCTCATATTGGCCGACATATTATTTTCCCCTGTGTCGAAAAAAGGGATAAAGGCATAAAGTTAGTCAACAGAAGAAGGACTGAGAGTGTAATGAGGTGTGTGAAACCTGATAGGGGTGTGATCAGGTTACCTGGCACAACTATCTTAGCTGAAAAAACAACTTGTGGCAGATACAACTAACAGATAAACGACTCATTCCTAACTGTCTTTTTCCAGCTTTGAGCCATGCCGCTGAGTGGATAGCTTCCTGCTGTGGCTGCTGCTCAAAGAAAGACAGGACAGGATGACAGTACCAGTGTAAAGGTGCATCTTTTTTTAGGAGAAGTTGTACTATTTTGAAATATCTACTCATGGTTCTGATAGCTAAACTGTTTATTTCCCTCAAGGGGCACGGCAGAAAGTGTGGACGGTCTCCAGTGATGAACCAACATCCAAAAGTCAAATTCCATCATAATTCCTCAGAGCAGAGTGGACAGAAGAGACTCTGAGGTTTATTTACTCGCAGCATGATAATCTGTGAACGCTCTGTGCTCGTTTCAATGATGACTAATCCCAAAACTCCTCATTTGGGGAGTAGGACGATGTCTGACAGCCAACAAGTTCAGCAGCAGCTCAGGAGAATCATAAGATCTACTGTATGTACTGGTAGTTAATGTGTTAGAGGTGCACTCATTATCACAAAATGAAGAAAATGTTCTACATCTGTACTTAAGTAAATTATTGGAAAAAGTCAAATAAATGATTGTTGAGATCATGTCATTGTTTTTGTCATAAAAGTGTCACTTCAGGTTTTCTCCAGCAGGGTCAATTATTATTACAGTAACAATTATTAGTCACAAGTTTGTCTTCTCCTGAGTGTGTGGCGCCATCATGTGGCAGAAAAAAACAACAGCAGAAGACCTTACAGTCTTCAGTTACAATTTATTTAACTGTAAGATTATACACTATCAAATCATTACATGTTTATGAAATGTATTGAAAGATAAATCTTTATTCAGGAGCAAAACCATAAGAATCTTTTCTTTGACCTGATGTGATCAAACATTAAGTAGTCGAATCAGTCGTCTTCTTACTGGAAGGTTGGGAGTTCGATCTCCAGCTGACAACATGCTGACCTTCAGTGAGAACACAGAAGCAGTTTGTAAGAAAGCACAACAACGTCTGTACTTTCTCTGTAAACTAAACTGGTTTGGTGTGTGCTGTACACTGATGACACTTTTTATATCTCCATGGTGAAGTCTGTTTTGTTTTGGCTTCATCAGCTGGTTTGGTAATCTCTCAATAGGAGACAAAAATAGGTTGCAACACATTTATTAAAGTTACCTGTAAGATCATTGTGGTTAAACTCCCCGATCTGTCTCACACCTTTAGTAAGAGAGCGGCAGCCAAGGCTTGAGACATCTTACAGTGTCCTCGACATCAGTGTCCCCGACATAAATTTTCCCTCGGGGACAAAACAAGTGAAGTTAAAGTTGATTCACACACGTGTAAATCACTGCAATGTCTCACAGGGCAAATTTTGGGTTCATTCTTTTTTTCATTTCTGTTGCTTTACATACTATAGTTTATGAATTCACCAGATTATCAACAGATTTGTAACAGATTTTTATCAACATGTTGTGTGTCATTAAGTGTCCTCAACGTCTTACAGTGTCCTCGACGTCTCACAGTGTCCTCGACGTCTTACAGTGTCCTCGACGTCATACAGTGTCCTCGACGTCATACAGTGTCCTCGACTTCTCACAGTGTCCTTGACATCTCACAGTGTCCTCGACATCGTACAGTGTCCTTGACGGTTCACAGTGTCCTCGACTTCTCACAGTGTCCTCGATGTCTCACAGTGTCCTCGACGTCTCACAGTGTCCTCGACTTCTCACAGTGTCCTCGACATCGTACAGTGTCCTCGACATCTTACAGTGTCCTCGACATTGTACCGTGTCCTCGACTTCTTACAGTGTCCTCGACGTCTCACAGTGTCCTCGACGTCATACAGTGTCCTCGACATCTCACAGTGTCCTCGACGTCTCACAGTGTCCTCGACGTCTCACAGTGTCCTCGACGTCATACAGTGTCTTCAACATCTCACAGTGTCCTCGACATCTCACAGTGTCCTCGACTTCTCACAGTGTCTTTGACGTCTCACAGTGTCTTCAACATCTTACAGTGTCCTCGACTTCTCACAGTGTCCTTGACGTCTCACAGTGTCTTTGACGTCATACAGTGTCTTCAACATCTTACAGTGTCCTTGACTTCTCACAGTGTCCTTGACGTCTCACAGTGTCTTTGACGTCATACAGTGTCCTCAACATCTCACAGTGTCCTCGACGTCTCACAGTGTCCTCGACGTCATACAGTGTCCTCAACATCTCACAGTGTCCTCGACGTCTCACAGTGTCCTCGACGTCATACAGTGTCTTCAACATCTCACAGTGTCTTCAACATCTTACAGTGTCCTCGACATTGTACCGTGTCCTCGACTTCTTACAGTGTCCTCGACGTCTCACAGTGTCCTCGACGTCTCACAGTGTCCTCGACGTCATACAGTGTCTTCAACATCTCACAGTGTCCTCAACATCTCACAGTGTCCTCGACGTCTCACAGTGTCCTCGACGTCATACAGTGTCTTCAACATCTCACAGTGTCTTCAACATCTCACAGTGTCCTCGACATCTCACAGTGTCCTCGACGTCATACAGTGTCCTCGACATCTCACAGTGTCCTTGACTTCTCACAGTGTCTTTGACATCCTCTGTTTGGTGAGTTTGTGCTTCTGCCCTGAAGCAGTAGATACAGATGACCAAAAGCCAAGTCCAACAGGTTGAGAAATGATTTCATAACTCAGGACTTCAAACGGCTGAACTCGAATGATGATCCTGAAGACTGATGAGTGTTATTTTCTTTAAATAATTGTTTTATGGACGTTTTTATACATTCTCAGTATCCTGTTGTTACCTGATGAACTCTAGTATTTATGTTTTTAATGTTGTTCACAATGTTTCTATTGTCTGAGTCTATGTGCCTGTGTTTCTATATGTTTATTTTTTTCACCTTCGGGGACAATACAAGTGAAGTTAAAGTTGATTCACACGTGTAAATCACTGCAATGTCCCACAGGGCAAATCTGGGGTTCATTCTCTTTTATTTTTTTCTGTTGCTTTACATACTATAGCTTATGAATTCACCAGATCATCAACAGATTTGTATCGACAGAAATATCATGATAAAATTGTTGTCTCTGGACCTGAATGTTGTGCTATGACATAAAGTGAAATGAATCTAACGCAGAAGTTCATTCTTACCTGTAAGCCGTTTGTAGTTAATCAGAGGGGTCACCAAGAATTTCAGGCCCCATGAAGCAATCAAAAGAGAATTATACTGAAGACATTTTAAATAAATGTTCTAATATTTCTCATGGGCCCTTATATAATCATTCTCCCTCATACTCCCCCTGGTTAAAAGTTTATATAATATACTATGATTAATCAAATGAAATCATCTTGGCGCTTTACAGTAACTGTAAAGTGAACTGACAGGAAACAATAGTCAGCATTATGTAATATCATATAATATTTATTTAGAATAGAAGAAAGCACAAATGTATTTACATTCACATGTACAGCGGCATACAATACAATTTTAAAAGTACACAATAGTATAGTTTACAGTCTGTGCAAGTTAAAGTGACTAATTCAGTTTTCAGTGTGTGTAACCATTTCTACTCAGTGTACAAATCTCTGACTGAATGAACTGTTCAACTGAGCAGCTGAGACCGTGATGCATAATCAAAAGTGTTGAAGAAAGTCACATATGCATTAACAAATGACACACTGATGAATTATTTGTAAGACGGTTGTTTTTTTCAACACATTTCAAATTTACAAAATACTTTAAAAACTTCCTCTTTGCTGGAATTTGGATCATGTGAAAGCCAATGAAACGGGAAACTGTAAACAATGGAAAACGTGTTGAAATGTCTTTGTGGGATGTTTTACGGTCACATTAACTCATTCATTCCCTTCCCTTCTCCCAAACAGCTGTAATCTAAAGTGCAACGTTGATCTGAGTCACCGACCCTCCCTGTTGACGTCATCATAGCACCATGGTGGGAATGTGGTGCACGAGGGGCATCTGGTGTTGGTGAGTCATGGCCGTCAACTGAGGAGGAGGAGGAGGAGGAGGAGGAGGAGGGGACACCTGGGACGTCACATCTGCACCGTGCGTCACCGGTTTGTGCCGCGCGCTCTTCTGGTGCGCCCTGAGGCCCGCGAGCTGAGAGTAGGCGCTCTGACACACGTGACACTTGTAGGGTCGCTCGCCGGTGTGCAGGCGCACGTGGTTCCGGAGCGTGGACGACTGGCTGAAGCGGCGGTTGCAGAAGCGGCAGACGAATGGCTTGTCCAGAGTGTGAATGCGCATGTGCGAGCGCAGGTTGCTGCGGGAGTTAAAGCCGCGGTGGCAGATGACGCAGCGCATGCGTCCTGCAGAGGCGGAGGAGGATGAGGTGGGGGAGCAGGAGGAAGGGCCTTCACAGGGGTGGGATTCCTCTGGGGGAAGATAAAAAAAAAAAAAAGATAATTTAACGATTGAGTGGTTTAAAAAAACATATTTTTGAAACAGAAAAAAGATCTGACAATGATCTGAACTCACCATTCCTGATCTTCTTCTGCTGCTCCTCATCGATTCCTGGAACTCCAGGGATTCCCAAAAACGTGTTGTGGGTGTTTCCATACCAGACAAGAAGCTCCTGGTCCGGTGGGATAGTCTGAGAGAGGAAGAAAGGGGTCAAGGATCAGCCAATTGATTTCACCATTTCCCATTGACAGAAAAAAAAAAATCACATCGTCACACGTTTTGACCAGCAGGGGGCGCTCTTCTAAAAGACATTTAACATTCTTGGTGGTCCCTTAAAGCCACTGAGAGCCAAATCCATGCATTCAAACCCCTTGTGTTTCATTCAAATCTTCTCACCTCCACCGCCTTATAGAAGATGCTGCTGCCGATCTGCACCACCTCCAGGTTCTGCTCCTGCTCGTTCCGGGCGCACTTTATGTATGTCATCCAGCTGCGCTGATCCTCCTGGCTGGCATCGATGAAGTAACGCACAGTGCCGTCTTCATTGAACACCTGAGCGGATAAAAAAAAAAAAAAAAACACGTTAGAACACAGGTCCTCCATGATGTCATACAGATGTTTTTTCCTGCAGGTTTAAATGACTCGAAACTCACCTCCCACATGAGGTTGTTGTTCTTGAGCAAGTCCACGTGCTCAGGGGACAGGACTCTCCCCGTGAAAGGGCCCATCTCGGTCCCTGCTTTGATCCAAGTCTTGGAGAAGATGCCGAGACCTTCTCCAGGGATGGAGCTCTGCGCGATGATCACCTCCGATGGCAGGACCAGGCTGGACAGCTTCTGCACCTCTGCAAACACAACATGGACACGGAAATGAGTGACACAAGGCCTTGCAAGAGTTTTGACACGGCGCATCACTATTTGGAGTAGGATGGGCTGAAACTGCGCGGACATAAAAGTGCAACGAAGTGTGAGAAAGCAGAGGTTTTGTGGTCAAAGAGTTGTCGAGCTGGAAAAAAAAGTCATAAAAGCATCAAAATGGACTGGATCTTATTTCAGTCACGAAATATTAAGCTACCACTTTGTCCGCCGTTTAATTCGATTATCTGCTTGAATTGAAAGTTTTTGTTACGCAGAGAAATCCCCTCGAAAAAGCATTTTTATCCTCACAAGAGAGGGGAGAAAAGGGAAGGAAAAAAAACCTTGCGCTTCTTTAATGTCAAAATCAAAGATCTTTTTTTTTTTTTATTAGATGCTAGGAATAAAAGCCCTCCGAATAGGGGTTAAATGGTCCTCTATTACCCAGGGTCCAGCGATTTGTCATGCTTCAGATGTGATATTCATTAAAGTTTACTGGAAAAGAAAACGGCTAATTCCAAATTCATTATCCTTTTAAGAACTTTGTAGCAATAAATTTGCGCTGAATGAGACGAGGACTTGTTTAAAAGACTCAGGAATTTCTGCAACAAAAAAATGGAAAGGCGATTAGATGGTTGACATGCAATGAATAGCATTAGATTTAGCCTTCACGGTGCATTATGCGAGGAACAGCAAATCTTTTAAGGGGAGAGAAAAGAGAAAAGCTGCGGAGCCCCATAGCTGCCAAGAGAGGAAAAGAGACTGTCCGGAGATTGATGAATGCGGGATAAAAACCCGGGACATCTCAAAGAAAGGGAACCTTTCTCTGCTGCGAGGTTTAAGTGGAAACTTTCCCAGGTCAAGCACAAAGTTAACCAAATGAATTTAATGCCCTGCGTCTTTCAATCAGCGGCACTTACACGCCTAACAAGCCTCCAAATGCGAGGTCTCACAGCTCTGAACGGGTTAATGCGATAAATGGGCCCAAAGAAAAAGTAGAAGAGAAAATAAATAAAGAAAATAAATAAAGAAGAAAATGTAGAAAAATTCAACAAGTTAGTGGAAAGGAAACTTTATGTGCAGTTTGAGTGGGAATGTTTCACTTTTCTCTGGTGTTTTTTGGTCAGGCTCTGGGATCTTCCGAAATTTTATGATATATTTTTAATGGGACATAATGCAAAACAAAAAAAAATAACGTTTTTCTGATTCAATTAAAGACATTTGTAGAAAATTGCATGTAGGCTATATTAGGTTTAGTTCTTTATAAAAACAAATCAAAACTTGGAGCAGTTCATGTTTTTGTAAAACGACAAAAAAAAATCATTACAATTAACCTGCAGTTTGGAATAAATGCTCACGAACACGCACATCAATGTTATGAAACAGGCATTACAAAAATGAAATAATAAAGCACATGTTCATGCTCACCTCCGACGAAGGACTGAGCCAGCACCTCCGCAGTGAAGGCGGTCTTTGGGCTGCTGCTGTGCCGCTCCTCTGCCAGGTGTTCTCCCAGCACGTTCCTCCACCTGCCGTAAAGGAAACTGTGCAGGATGTCCGAGGTGATCACGTCCGAGAGTGCGCGACTCGGACACTTAAATCCAGACTTGAGAGCCAGAGGGTCTGCAGGGAGCACGGAGCCCATGATGCAAGACTGGGAGAAAAAAAAACAACCTAAAATTAAAGTAAGAAAAAAGAAAAAGCAGCGATGCAGCGACAAGAATAGAAGAAGTAGAAGAAGACGGAGAAGAGGGGAGCTGCTCCTCTGTCTGTGCTTCTGCACCAAACTGTGCGCCCTGCCTGCCTCTGAGGGTCTCTTTATATAAGTGGCTGGTGTGACCCCTGTCTAATTACTTATTAATGACACACCCCTCGCCGTGTGGACCTGCCTGCTGCTGCTGCTGCTGCTGCTGCTCCAGCGTCCGCAACACCAGCAAAGACAAGAAGAAAAAACTTCATTTTGTCATTATCTGAATTTTAAATTCATGCAACATTTTTGTGCAAAACCCCCAAAGCATCGTGATTGACTGAAATGTAAATTATAGGCAAATGTTTCACATCAAATTCGTGCAGAATAATAAAGTTTTTAAGCTCTCAAAAACCTTAAAAAGTTGCAGAAATGGATATTAAAGAATGCGAATAATTTACACTCTATTGATATGAATTAAAACATTTTAACGCTGTTATTTAAAAAAAAAGAAAATCGTGATTATGACTAATGCATCAAAAGAAGATTAAACTTCTTTTTGCAACTTTTTTTTAATCGACATCCATGTGAGTTAAGTGGGTCATTGAGTCTGGGAGTTGCTCACCCATTTTTTTCTCAGGCATTTCGTATTCATGCGCTGGTAATAATAATTGTAATGATTTTTTTTTGTACGCAGTTAGCGCGGGAATAAACGAGAATGAGGGAAAAAAAAAAAAATCAAGGCTTTTTTTTTTTTTACAGCATTGTTCCCATGCAAAAAATGCAAAGCTGCTTTGACGTGGTTTCACTTTTTCAAGCCCTTGTTGAGGTATAAGCGGTTTAATATTCATGGCTGTTCGGAGCCCCCTCCTTGGTATTGTGACAACGTTTAGATGAGTATATACACCCCCCTCCTCCTCCTCCTCCTCCTCCTCCTTTCCCCTTCTTCTCTATAGTGTTTTTTCCTCTCTTCTCCTATTTTTCGGGCTTGATGGACTGCGGCTAAATGGGCAGTTTTCCTTCTTTTCCAGCAGAGAGGACATCTTTATTCCATCCCCGGCTCACAGGTTTCCTATTCAGCTCCCCTCCAAGTAATGTCAGGGCCCTGAAAAGTGCTGCAAATCAATCTTTCATGGTGTTTTGAGGGCAATTTGACATCCATGCACTCCTCTTTTCACTGCAACAACTACAAGGGGATTGTCCGAAAAAAAAAAAAAAAATGGGCAAGTTGTGCTCTTTCTTTTTTTTTCTCTCTCTCACTCTGTGGACGAATATGGACTATGTAATGGGAAAAAAGAAGATATGGCTACTAAATACAATGGCGGAGGTTTTTTTTTTTTTTTTCTTGAGATGGTGAAAAGGCAAGGTGAGTGACAGGGCACGAAAAAAGATTACTGTGAAACAGCTGCTTTTTATGAGCGAGCCCCTCCTACATTTGTCTCCTTTTCCCAGATGAAATTTCGCTGCTCTTTCAATGGGATTCTTTCTCATCTAGATTGATTTACATTTATAGCATTCATCGCACAAATCCGAGGTAAATGGCAGGGGGGGGGGGGGGGCAGAGGGGTGGGGCCGTTTCTTTATTAAAGAGGAATTAAATGAATTGAATTGGGGTAACGCATGGATTTGATTTGCTTATTTATGCATTAACCTGTGGCTTTATGTGGAGCTGGTAAAGCCGCAGGCATGTCAGCAATGGCAAATCATCCCGCTTAGCTGTGCCATTGTAAAACAATTTAAGCTTTTATTCTGTCCATTTAAAGCCTATCAATTTCATGTGGATGATTGACAATTATTGCACAAAGAATGCGGTAATTGTTTTATTTCAAAGAGCTGCTGGGAAACCTATCAAAGAAAAGCGTTTGTTTGGGGATAAATAGCAGAGTTAAGCTTATCAGGAGGGAAACCGATAGCCTGAAGGAAAAGAGACTCGATCGTGTTAAAAAAAAACAAAAAAAACATTTTAACATGTAAAGTCTTGTGAAAAAACTATTTATGTTAAACAAAAAAATAAAAATAAAAACGTTAAACTTTGCAAGAAAAGTTGCGTTTCTCTCGCTGCGTAAATTAAGAATTTAAACTTTAAAAATGTGTTGTCCTGCAATAAAATATTTTTTTTTTAAATCCACTTAAAACATTGGCCTATAATCGCAAGAAAACTCTCTGGGATTTCAGGCCTGCTGCGAGGAAAACACACAACTACACACACACTCACACACTAACACACACACGCTCACACACACTCGTGCAAAACATGCAGCCGTCCCAGCAGCTGTGAGGAAGAGGAGACGGGGTCTCCTGGGATCCTCTGCAGGGTCATTAAAAGCAGATTAAGGTAGAGCCACAGAGAGGAGGAGACTGAAGATCAGCTCATCTGTTGCAAAGGTGAGATAGGTGCACTCCCCCCCTCCTCCCCCCCAGTTAAAGTGTTTTCCCCTCTCTCTCTCTCTCTCTCTCTCTCCCCTGTCTGTTGTTGGACAGGACGGGAGGAGTCAGGACACCAGCTTGATGGAGTGTGTGAACCTTCATGTAAAAAGCAAAGTGTTACTGACATTATTTAAAGATTCATTATTAATTTCAACCCAGAACACTGACGCAAGAATTAAAACATTATAACCAAAGTCAGTTAAAAAAAACTGAAAACATTAATTTTCCTTCTGAAATGAGACCTAATATAACATGAATTAAATACTGTTTTTCTATACTTCTGAATTATGTCTTTAAGATACTTTATACTGCATGTTTAGTTTTAGTCACTTTAAAATGTTGAATTTGAAAATATTGTGGTTGTGGTTCATGAAGCTGACAAACTCTAAAAAGGACAGAAAGACAAATTCTGCAAATAGAAAATTGTAACTTTCATGCATGTCATGCGAGTAAAATGTGAAATGCATGTCTCTTGTGTCTCTTGCTTGTAACTGTATTTTCACTCGGTCATACTGCTGCCTCACTCACAGATGTGATTGCTGCAATTCACTGATCACAGATTAATGAGATAACCGATTCATTGCTATGAAGAGTTAGAGACACAGGCCTCAGTGGTGGAACAAATAACTTCACTTTAAAACTTCAATGTTCTCACATCACATTAAGAGAAACTAAAGGGTCAAGCTGAATGTGCTGAACGCCTCTTCCAACACATTTTGTAACATGCTTTTTTGTTTTTTTGCTTGGGGGGGGGGGGGGGGGGGACATTTCTGGAGTTCAATTGAATTCAATACCTGCACAGTACATCATTTTTTTTTCTTTAAAGAGATATTTAATCTATTTATTGTCAGTCATATTTGGTGTTAATGTTTTTGATTGTCTTCAATTGTGAGGAGCATTGTCTCCATCTCTGGACATTCTGTGCTTCGTTCTTAATGCCTGTTAAAAGTGATCTGGGTTGCAGGAGAAAAAAAAAAGTGTCTACGATCGGCCTTTAAGAAGATGATGAATTGGTTCTCTCATCGTCACTCTGCGAATCGTCCTGGAACAACTAAATTATTAGTCAGGCACAAAGGACCACCAGGTCAGGACTGTCCTCGGGGGCGTGGCCCTTAAAAAGGGAAGAGGATCAAAATCAAGGGCTGGATTTGGAAACAGCTGCAGCGCATCAATACAAGGGCCGGTGTGTCAGGAGAGCCCCTGCTGAGAGCAAAGATGTGCAGTGACAAAGCTGGAGGGGAGGGGGCAGAGGGGGGGGGACATCTCAGTGGAGCCTGAGGGAGGACGTGCTGCCGCCGCTGCTCGACGAGGACGACAGTTAACATGAGCAACGAGGGACAGAAAGGGAAATGTTCCATTAGGTTGTTTAGGGAGAAATGAGACGTACAAGAGCAGAAAAACGAAAGATAATAGAATTTTTTGTGAAAATACCGAAGGATTCTTTAGAAACAAACTCAAGCCTGTAACAGAAAAAATGTTTTAAACTGAGAAGAGATTAGAGTTAAACTTTGAGGTATGATGATGGCCAAACTCAAAGTGTTTCATGTAAAGTGCTTTAAATAAACAAGAAGTCAATCATCCAGAAATTGACTTTGTTAACAGAAACATTTTGAACTATCAAATTTCAGCATAAAGCCAGAGGTCAAAAAGGAGATAATGTCTTTTAGGACAAATGTTTAAGCTGAAGGATTACAACGTTTATTTCTTCTTTTAAATCACAGGACAAATACAGAAGTTTAACTTCAGATGATACTAAACAACAGATTTAAAGGGAATCTTTTTCTTACAAAATGAAGCAGTGATCAAGAACTTTAAAGTTGAAAACCAGCAAACATAATGTTTGTAGAAAAAAAATACTGAAGGATAAGAAATGTACATCTCTCATCTGGCCGTGTGATGACTCATGTACAAACTACATTCATCTGCACAGTGCAGCAGTGGAAACATGTCGCAGCTTACAGTAAGAGCTGATACTGAGATTATTACTCAACCACAAGAGAGGCTTGCGGACAATTTATTTGGATTTGAGAACTGGCAGCAGTCTATAGAAAATATAGCTTTTCTGCTTATAAAACATGAAAACATACAGTCAAGCTACAGATTTAGTCTACGCATCATCTGTTAGTATTTACACAATAGAGCGCTCACAGGTAAAGACATCCACATGTTGAGAAGAACGTCATGAAACAGAAAAGCAGCTAAACAAGTAGACATAAAGGTAGTCTGGATGTTTTTAATACATTGTTAACTGTACACGTAAGGAAAAAAAAAACAAACACCATAATTAGACATGTTCAAATTATATCCCTTTTCATTAAGAAATGACGTTAATACCATAATCATTTTTCCATAATGATGCATCATTTATACCATTTATATTAAATCACACAAAGAAATAAAAAATTAATTAAAAAGGTTGTTAGCATTGGACTGAGTCCAACGGCCCGCTGAGTCCGTGCTGTGGGCTCAGCGGGCCGTTAGTGAACTGAGAAGTACCAAATAAGACAGTTTTTGATCAAAATACTTAAAACATAAAAATACTACATTAATTATTACACAGGTAGAAGAACAGAGGCTTAGCAGTCTTGAATAGCTCAGGTGCAGAACATACACAAAAGTCTACCACGTCGTATTTTTCTTCATAACAAGATGCAACATCAAATTTCAAAAATCACACATTCACAATCTTTGAACATTTTCAGTATGAAAACAG